AAACGCCCAAAACGTCAGGAATTAAAAAAATCGAATTGAAAAAACAGTAGGTTAGCAATTTGCCTGTGTATGTTTTGCATGTGTGGTACGCGTCAATTTTTTAAAAAAGTGGAGGTACTCAATTCGACTCCTGTGTGTGTTACCTCAGAACTCTTTTCTGGGTGAATCGATTTTGATGATACTTTTTTTATTAAATTAACTTATTTTATAAAAACAAGTATCATCTTCAGGCGTGGTTTCATATAAACTTGTAAACGTGTGGTAAAATTAAAAATTTTCTACAACCCACCTCAATATAAATAAAATGAGAACATCATCAATGTATTCGGAGTCAATTAAATACGTATTATTAAAGATAAATACAAAAACTACTGGTCAGATCTTGATTCAATTTATATGGGACCACACGAGAAGCACCAGCTTTCACCAAGAATCATCAATATCGATTCACCCGGAAAAAAGTTCTGAGGTAACACACATCAAAAAAAATATACAGTCGAATTGAGTACCTCCTCTTTTTTGAATCGGTTAAAAAGAATATACGATCTCTAAGATCTCTGTGTGGCAAAATCTGGAATGAAGTTTTTAATGGAACTACTCCTCTTCAAGCGACATTGAGATTGTGACATACCACAGTCCATTTAAAAGGGTAAAAACGATAACATTGATTAGAAATAAATGCTGAATTCACAGCATTTATTTCACACAACAAAAAAGAATAAAATATTTATTTACAGTCGGGGCTTTTATGTTTCCATATCATATTCTTTGAAGTAGTTTTAACTTTTTATTGAAAGTTAGTTTTTTATATAAAAAGGTGAACATCACCGCTATGCGCTTATTTATTTACTTAACAATTTCATAACTATGTGTTAAACAGGCATCACGTAATGAACCATGACATTGCAGTCTCGCCGGCCGTTCATTACGCAACTCTATAAATTTGTGCGAAAGCTTTTATTCTTCGGTCGTGGTCTCGCATAATTATACGTTTGTCAGTGTCAAGTAATCAGAAATTATCCAATATAATAATATTATTATGTTAACTTTTTCACAATATTTTATACTTACCCTATTTACTGGAAATGAGGCATTCTAAGTCTTTAGTGACAGCGCATCTGAATTTTCATTTTTAATCGAGGTTACATGTCTATGGGCCACAGCAACCACTTACCGTCAGGTGGACTGTGTGCTCGTTTGTCACCCATATTCTATATAAAAATAAGCTGATGCGTCACACTGCGAAGTTTTTGGGAGATTTAGACGACAGCTCAATCCATCGCACAGTCGATGTCGACGGTGACTCAAGTTCGTAAGGCGCCATCGAGACTGGAGGCACTTGTTTCGTCGTTTACACTAATAGTTCACTAGCACAGACACCTAATGCACAAAAATAAACAAAATCGCATCGCTTTACGTATCAACATCCACTTCAAACCATTTAAACGATTAAACAGCAGCAAGAATTACGTCGACGGTCAAGTTCCCGCTAAAACAGGACGAAAATTATTTAATACGTAGCTTACGCGTACGTAGCTTACGTGCTAACTTCCGGAATATCTGCTTCCATCAGGGAGTGATTTTTCTTTGGAACAATTACTTGTCAAGATCATTTACAATAGTTCAGAGTTACTTTTTAACGTTTCTGGTTTGAATATTGCAAAAAATTAACATGTTTTTGCAATATTCGAAGAACGCATAAAAATTTAAAAAAAAAAAAATTAAAATTCTTATATAGACGCGAAATCTGACTCAAGTTTCGAGCGCCTACAGTACTCATGCACGTGGGAGAAAGGGGAAGGAATCTCAAATCTAAGATGGTAACGTTTTTTTACATAAGCAAATAATCATTCTTGTCTCGATAGTCTTGAGGAAGTTAGTCTTGATGAACACCAACAATTTACGTGGTAGCGCCACGCTGCAGCTACATTATCGTTGTAGCACGAATGGTCGGCTCGACCGGTAAATAACCACGCTCTCTCAGAATATCACCGTGTAACAGCTAATTGATGCTGCTGCGATCATATCCTAGACGGCCCCAACCATTACATCAGATTTGATAGACCACAAATCCTCGCGAAAGTGCACCGATTCCTACCAAGGATGATACGTGAGGCTATTGAAATTAAAAAACATCCTAATTTCAATAGAGAGGAGGCTGGGTACTACCACCTGCTTGGGACCCTATAATCAATAAAATTAAAACTAAGCCCATGCATACCACTGCAAGACCCCAAGACATAGTTAATTTTGCATAGATCGGACCATAAACAATAATTAAAAAAGCTGAAGGTACTCCGGGTTTAACAATGACATCGGGACGTCAGTCACCTCAGTCCCCCGTGACCATGGGTGCTGGAAAGCACACAAAACGTCGGCCATTAAAAATAAAAATAATTAAAATTAAACGCGATAAAATCCGTAAAAGTAATTTTAATTAATAATGCTGCTGTGTTGGGGGGGAAGGAGCTTTTTTACTGGAAACGAGACATTCCGCCCTCAGGGGTGACAACTTAATCGAGAATATATTATGTAGATGTGTAAAGGCCACAGTATCCACTTACCATCAGATGGACTGTGTGCTCGCTTCTCATCTACTATCTATAAAAAATATATTAAATTTTAATTCATTACGGCTCTCCGTGGTGCAGTAGCTTGCTATTGATTAGATTCGCTAAGTGCCGCGGGTTCGTATCTCGCACGGAGAAGTATATGTATGGCCTATGTGTATTTAAGCAATTTCTATGGTCAACAAATAACTTTTAAGGGTCTAGATGTTTGTCCTAGTACAATTTATGCTTGTGACCTGCCTGCACGATACATGAGAAAATCCTAGTGTGAGGTAGTATCTTTTTAAACATAAAAAAATCATTCTTGCCTGACTAGCCTTGAGACAGATGATGCTGTATAAACCAAAAGGCTGATACAGTACTAATAGGTGTAAGTAAATGTTAACTTTTTGATGGAGCCACGTTGCAGTTATATTATGGTTGTAGCACGAATGGGTCGGCTCGACAAGTAATGACTATCGCAGAATGTCAACGTAGAAAAGCTAATTAATGCTGTTGTGTTAAGAACTGGATACCCTTTTTACTGTAAACGAGACATTCCATCTTAGCCCTCAGTAGTGGTAACTCATGTGCGTTTTGTTTGTTAATCCAGTATGCTTTATATTTGTAGATGTGTCCATACACATCTGTATGATGGTAACTTGAATCTGGGGGCCATCCCCCAGATTCAACTTACCATCAGATGGACTGTATGCTCGTTAGTCACGCATAATCTATAAAAATATAATAAATTGAAATATAAAAAGCTATGCATCCGTCGTTCTTGTCGGTAATTTTTATAACGTTCGAAAGACTAACGAGAAATGTATGTATAAAAGTGTTAATAGCGTAAATAAATTCATTTAATCATCGTAATGGATTCCAATAGTCCGATATATAAATAAAAGAGTTTATTCACATCATAACGTGTGAACGAAATTAAAACTCACGGAGATCTTTCATAAATCATATTGTGCTTTAACAAAAACTCTTTTTCACTGTCACATCGTGTTAATGAACCCATTGTGCTGGGTGTCAGTGAACTGTTCCTTGTTTGTAGCCGCATTATCTACAACTAGTTGCCACGCAGCGGACACACACACACGTTTGCGGACTGTATCTAAATACAAAAAATAAAATAAAACCTACCGGCCCGCCTCGGCTTCGCACGGGTGACATCTGGATCTCTACAGCAGCACCACCTGCCAGGTCTAATTGTAAATCTAAGCCATTGTTGAATCCCTCAACAGTAGAGATGAAACGGATAGCTATTTGGCCGGATACCGGATGCTCGGTAAGTCTTATCGCCTGATAGCCGGATATCCGGCCGCCGGATATTCTGGCGAACATTGCCGTATGGTGCATCACAGGAAACGAAAAGTAAAGTCAGTGCGATATGTTCGCGATCGTGACCCTTATATTTGGTGGGCAGCTAGTGCTACGTAATACTCTAAATTTATCAAAGTTTGCCAAAATCTATCTTTCAGCACCCAGCGGTAGTGTGTACAGCGGAAGGCTTTTCTGAAGCTGGCCTTGTTTATAAAGACACTTGTTACCTATCAATGCAGAGAAATTAGTATTTATTCACCATAATGTAGTACGAACACTAATTTTCTAAGTGTTAAAATGAAAATATTGTGATTAGTAATTACATGTTATGTGACATAAATAAAGTACTTAACTAAATATGATATTTTGTATTTTTTTAAATCCCATATCCGGCTAGCCGCTTGTATCCGGTATCTGGCCGGATAGTAATTTAGGTCGGATAGGCCGAATACCGGATAGCTACCGGATATCCATTTCATCTCTACTCAAGAGAGCTTCAAAATCACACAACACGACAAACAATTCAAAATCACACAACACGACATAAAAATTAGAGCGTGTTTAAAATTAATTTAAAAAATCGTGTAATATTAAGGATTTAGATTTTCAAATCAAAATAACTTGCATAAAGTCATTATGGTGTTTTAACTGTGGTTCAATTAGTGTAAATAAACCAGTTAAATAAAAAAAAATCACTACTAAAACATTTTGTTTGGTTTTGCTTAAGAAAATCGTGATTTGTGGTAAAAACGCAGGTGGACCGTTTTTTTTATGACGAAAAATTCCATCTTATTTCTTAGGGGAGACAACGCATCTGCAATGTGATTCTTAATCGACGATAAATGTAGATGTTTGTAATAATAATAATAATCATTTATTTCGAACCATGATCCATATGGGTTAGTAAGTAATTTATTAACTAAAATATGTTAGTAACAACATTAACTAATTATAACTACCTAATTAATTCATACAACTCTGCCCACTTCCCACTGCACCAGACCCGCAGCAGTGTATACGTGACCAGTGCTGCAGGAACGGGCAGTCTCACAGAATCCAAGTACCAGCGGGTGGATTTTAAAATATAAAGAATTTAAAATGATATGAGTCGTTCGGTTGCAGAAAACCACCGCCGCCGCCGAAGAAGATCTTCGAGTATCTGAACAAGCACGTGGTGGGGCAGGAGTTTGCGAAGAAAGTGCTCTCTGTGGCCGTATACAACCACTACAAGCGCATCTACAACAATGTCACCGCCGCTACGCCCGCGGACGCGCACCCGCTACACACGCACAGAGGTACGCACTACCTCCACCACTACCACCACTACCATTACCACCACCACCACCACAATCACCACCTCACAAATGAGAGGAGCCTGTGTCGAACTCTGGAACGTACATAGGCTGTAACTTTAACAAGCAATGGAAACAATTATATCTCATTTACGTCACTAAGAGGTCAGTTGTCAGTTAAATCGCCCGCGCCAATGCCACAAAGTTTTACTATGGTCGAGATATCCCCATAAAGTGTGAGTATAAATGTAGGGATGTTCCGCCAAAAGCGGTTGTAATTACACACAGAGAGACATGCGTTCATACACATACACTAAGAAACCGGGACGTTTGGCAATGTTTGTACATTTACTCATAAAGATACGTTCATACATATACACAGAGTAAGCGGTACCTCTGGCAATGTTTGTACATTTACATAGAGGTGTCTTTCGCGAATAGGTACGTGGACAAACAAGTTGCAATTAGTTCGCACCACCACGAATCTAATAACGCGTATTGTCTCAGTTCAAATGCGACTGGTAGCAGGGCATTCATTATTATTTACTGTGCATCACATGACATTTTTATTTTTTTATTATATTTTATTTGACATGTAAACTGTCGGATTACAAGGTAATCTTTTTAATAAATTTACGGACTACCAGGGGGCTGTGGCAGTGCTCCATAGTCCGACAAATTTGATAATCCGACACCGCCTTGCAAAACGTTTGTCGCATTACCGCGGCTCAATTGTATACATAATTCTATAAGTACAGTGTAACATAGACAAAAAAAAAATCTGCACACTACAGTTCTCCGTCTTTCGAGTGAAAACATTTTAATATTATTTAGGGTAAGAAGGTTAACAAACAAGTACCATCACAATTCACCTGATGGTAAGTGGTTGCTGTCGGCCGGTCGACATCTACCTACATCTATACTCGATTACGAATCGAAATGCAGATGTAATGTCACCCGTAAGATGGAATGCCTCGTTTCCAGTAAAAATATTCACCGGTTCTCTATACTTAGGAACAGCAGTGTCGAACTGCTACGGTTTTCTGTGAGAGCGTGGTCCCTCCTCAGTCGATCCGCGAAACATTCGTGCTTACAACTATGCTACTAATATCGCTGCAGCATGGCTCTACCACGTAAAAGAGTAGTTCGCTCGCTTCTGCAAAAATAAAGTGAACGATGAAAATTGTGAAGTTTTTGATGCGATCTCAAATGAATTCGTAGTCGAAAACGTAGCCGCTGCAAGTGAAACTATGCGGAGATAAGAGAGAGAGCGCAACGAATCAGTCCCTCTCGGCTCGTTCCGCACCACTCAAGTCCTAACAACGCTTTCATCTCGCCTTTTAAATAATAGGTTTCCTTAGCCGTTAGACTGCCTTGAATCCCGGGGCCAAAATGATTGGGTTTTTCTGAAAAGAAATTCTAATTAACAACCCGGTGTTAGGAAGTTGGCGGTGTCTCGTCCCCGTGCCTCGCAAAGCACGTAAAGCCGTTGGTGATCTCTCCAATCCAAATAAATTGTAACTTTATGAAGAAAACTAGTCTAATTGTGAATGAATTACTTTCTACTTCTTCTCCCAGCTGAAGGGACTTGTTGAAGTGATGGCGAAGCATTTGAATTTCAAGAAGTTTTTTGTGAAAGCCAAAATTGAATAAAAATATTTGATTTTGACATTGACTTTGATATGTGCCTAAACTAAAATATATACTTTGATATGTAACTAAACTTTAACTTTCATCTAGTTCAGGGGCTCTCAAACTTTTTAGCTCGCGGCGAACTAACAGGTTTAGTATTTTGTCTCGGAGCTGAAAGTCGAAATAGGTTACAATGATACCAGGTAGAGTTTTTAAATATAGGAAATAAACTACTAAGGCAACTTAGTCTATATGTGTGAATTTGGTGGTTTCCACTTTTTCAAAGACTTGATACCGCTACACTCATTTCTTGCTTCCAATTGATCTTGAGCGATATTTGTTCTTTATTACAGCTACAGCTGAAAATTCGATTTATTTTGTACCCGCGAATACATAAGTGTCGTTTCCGGAGAATGGTAAAGAGAAGCGTCTCAAGGCGCCCCTTTACTCTCTACGGCGCACACTTTGGGAACCCCTGATCTAGTTCGTTCTTATGAGAAAGTCTGACGTCCCTATTAACTAACTAACTATTTCACAGTGAGATTTGTTCCATTGTTCCGAACCAAGTGTTCTCATTTCTATTGTTGCCGTACCTCGTTCGTCATTTCGGTGAAAGTTCGTAGATTTCATATCTTAGATCCTCCTGTGCACTTCTTCTAACACTGATAGTGTCTTATTTTATGTAATTTACCTGATTTTGAAGGTTAAAGACCACATAAAATGATGAAGTTTTTACATAATTTGTACTTGCGATTGTTACCACTTGGTGGAACTACAACTTTATTTTTGTGATTATGATATACACCTTGTACCGCATCAACGGCATCGTCAGGGTATATAAGAGTATCTATTATTCTTATTTGTGTGACCTACAAATAACTGTTCCGTGTCTAGATGTTAGTCCTTGAGCAAGTTATGTATGTAAACTCGGGTATGGGTCGGGGTAGCGTTTTTTTAAAAATATGTTGAAGGTTGAATGAAGATTAGAATTTGAAAAATAATATATAAGATATAACAAAAGAAAATAATATATAATATTTAGAAAAATAAATAATATTAGGGAAATGTTCAAAGTAAGTTAAAAATTTACAGCCTTTATAAGTCCCAGAGTACGAAACCTATCCAACTGCAGATAGGTGTAAGACAGGGTGACGTTATTTCCCCGAAACTATTCACCGCTGCATTGGAAGACGTTTTCAAGCTACTGAACTGGAAAGCATACGGTATTAACATCAATGTCGAGTACATCATTCACCTTCGATTTGCCGACGATATAGTCCTTATGGCAGAATCGCTGGAGAACTTAAGCACTATGTTCAATAACCTCAACGGATAGGTCTTAAGATGAACATGGACAAAACAAAGATCATGTTTAATGTCCATGTCACACCCATGCCGGTAGTTGTTGGGAGCACTAAGCTCGAAGTTGTTGACCAGTACGTTTACCTGGGACAAATAGTCCGACTAGGTAAGTCCAACTTCGAACGAGAGGTCAATCGATGGATTCAACTCGGCTGGGCAGTGTTCGGGAAATTACGACACATCTTCTCGTCAGGTATACCTCAAAACCTGAAAACTAAGTTGTAAAACAAGTACGTGTTGCCAGTGATGACATATGGAACTGAGACGTGGTCCTTCATTGCTGGCCGTATGAGGACGCTCAAGGTCGCTCAGCGAGCTATGGAGAGGGCTATGCTCGGAGTTTCTCTGCGTGATAAACTTAGAAATGAGGATATCCGCAGTAGAACCAGAGTGACTGACATAGCTCAACGGATTAGTAAGTTGAAGTGGCAATGGGCCGGCCATATAGCTCGAAGAACCGACAATCGTTGGGGAAAAAAGGTTCTCGAGTGGCAGCCTCGTATCAGTAGGCGAAGTGTAGGGCGACCCCCCACTAGATGGATTGACGACCTGGTAACACATGCAAGTCGATGGATGCAGGTGGCTCAGGACCGTGCTTTGTGGCATACCTTGCGGGAGGCCTATGTCCAGCAGTGGACTTGTGAAGGGTTGTAATGATGATGATGAGGATGATGATACGTCCCACAGCTGGGCACGTTTGAGAAATAAAAGTATTTATTATTATTATTTGGGGTATCTATATAATTTTCTCATCTGGTTGGGTTCTATAAATATATAATTTTAAGTTGAAATGAAAAGGAGACCAACCGGCCGATGGTTAGGAGGAAAGGGAAAAAAACCGGCGGACGATGCGGGCGGTATCGAGGAGCACCGCAAGGGCAGTACGCTGCATTGACTATACACCGTGACATAATGAGGCGATATGATTTGCGCCTTTTTGGCGCTGACAGTAGAAGTGGACGTCTGCGGAACTAATAATAGGGTTAAGACAGTGTGACAAAATATATCGATAAAAATTATATACCCTACTTATACCTAAATAAATAGAATAGACTCTATGGATAGATGTCCTCTACCCGTAACGTCCATTCTATTTATGTATCATATTAATATAAAGCCATTATCATTCCTCATCATTAAAGCCCTTCACAAGTCCCCTGCTTAACATAGGCCTCCCACAAGGAATGCCACAAACCGCGGTCCTGTGCCACCTGCATCCATCAACTTCCTGCATGTATTACCAGGCTGTAACTCTATCTAGTGGGGAACGTCCTACACTTCACCTGCTAGTACGAGGTCTCTCATTTCTGAGAGGGTTTTTGGGCAAGGAAGTGTGCGCCGCGCTGGCCCAATGCGTGGTTGCGAACTTCACGTCATTGATTTTTTTTTCTTATTTCTCAGACATGCCGGTTTCCTCCTGATGTTTTCCTACACCGCCGAGCACGTGGTAAATCAGTACTTTAAATCGCAATTAACAATTTCACTAGTGCCGGCGGTAATCGAACCCGGGTTGCTTGCGTGCTGTTAAATTACGAGATGGTTAGCGCTCGTTCGTTCACGGAAATGTGAAGAAACAAAATTTTAACGAAGAAACATCGGAGTGATTTCCACCGGCGTACGATTCTCATCAGAGTTACACAAACGCGCTGCAGAATATAGTCGTGATTTCAATTATGCATAGGTTTCTAATTAACGTCCCGAGCACAATGATAAGAGTTACGCGGCGTGCGGTGGCTCGACAGACTCCGTAGTTAGTATGTGACTGCCTCGCTGTTCTAGTGGTCGTTAACGCGGTTGCGGATGGGATCCTCGGTTCGAAACCCGGGTCGGGACAAAAAGTTTTTCTGTCAAGAAATTTTCACTAGCAGCTCGTGGTCAGGAAGTTATCGGTGTTTCACAACATTCCTCAGAAAGCAAGTAAATCTGTCCTGCGTCTGATAGCTTTCCGGTCCTGTCGGTTTACCATCACATCGGACTATGACAGTAACAGTGTTTGCACCATACGCTCGTGCACTATAATTCTGTCCTGCGCGGATGTCTAGCCTCTTTTGAGATTGGCCGCCGCGCCGTGTCTGAAATTCTGTGTGGACCACATTTGTATGTGGACCGTATAGCACGGTTGGTAACGTTCGATCTGTATTAGGGCCACGAACGTTGGCGGCTTGTCGAACACACTGATGTATTAGGGCAACATGCACGAGCGGTTTCATAATTGATATTGTGGGTACGCATCGCAATTCTAATTTGTGGCTATCTCTTGTTTCGAGTCTACGTAATAATGTAATGTCAAAATCGATGTTCGTTTTGTCTAGGATAGTAAGTACGTCATTATTACGCCCTTATTGAAAAACGCTTTATACGCTTTATATGTGGTAGACGGTGTTGAATGTATACCGTATACCACATATTAGTAAATCGTTATTTTATTAAGTATACTCGTACATTAATTCATCTTAATAAATAAAAAAATGAATGTTATATCCAAGTATTATAGACTCGTTATGTGGGAATTAGTGTGTAGGCAAATCTTCTATGAAATGCATAGAAATTTAAAAAGTAACCCCCATACTAGGAGATATTTCCATGTTACATGGTAAGTGAATGTTGTGATCCATAGTCATCTATATTTATCCTCAATTAAAAATCGAAATGCGGTTAAGTTGTCACTCCTGAAGACTAAGATGGAATGTTTCATTTCCAGTAAGTTCCAGTCTCGGGTTCACTACTTTTATTATACGAAACACAGCAGCATCCAAATTCCTATTTTACGCTGGTATTCTGTGAGAAAATGGCGTATAGCAGCAGCTTGGCTTTACCATGTAACGGAAGGTCCTGCATATTTTTTCTTGATATTTTACTTGTTGTATATAATAGAGATATGTGTGCGTGTGTCGACAGAGTTGATGCAGGTGGCGGGCGGCGGCGCGGAGGCAGCGGAACACGCGCACGAGCTGCGCCTGGACAAAAGCAACGTGCTGCTGCTCGGCCCCACCGGCTCCGGTCAGTGCATGCACTACACTAAACCTGCACGCACACTGCACGCACAGTACATGAACGCAGGGGTTCACGCACACTACATACGCAATACAAGCATGTATACGCACAGTGCACGCACGCTACACACGTACTACACACGCAATACGTGCACGTATACGCACAATAAACACACAGTGCACGCACACCACACTCGATACACTTGCCCACCTTTTCACAACTCCATGTATATTTTTATAAAATAAGGATAACAAACAGCTACACGGACCACCTCATGGTAATTTAATGCTGTGGCCCATGTACATCTACCGTTATCTATATCTTCGTTTAAGAATCCAAATTCAGATTCGTGGACGGTGTGCTCGTTTGTCACTCTTATTCTATAAAATAAAAATTCAGTACTTATATTGTTTAAACATTCACAACCTCAGCTCAAATTCTAATTTCGCCCCCACTTGTCTGCGCGTCGTATGCTATATACCTACATGTTTGTAATCACTAATACTGTAAGTAAATAAGTCGGTAGATACTAACTTCATTACGTTTATCATATGTTTGCCTAAAATGAGAATGGTGAAAGCCTCCTCACCATATTTGTGGAAAAGAATCTTTTTGTGACGAACATTTTCTTTCGTCATAAGAAGATTCACATGTATACGTGGGAAAGAGGTGATGATATCAGCATGATAGGTTTCATAATTGTTGATGAAAAAATGAGAAAAGAAAAAATGATGTAGATGTGAAAAGAATTAGCACAGTAGTAGATACAAGTATTCACCGGGAGTCCAACGTAAGGACGTATCATTACTTGGTCTTATGCCGAATAGGGTATTTTACACCATGTAAAAAAATGTACAGTTATGATAGATTTTGTAAAAAGTAAACGAGAAATATTGACTTCTATTAAAAAAATTATATTTCAGTTCAGACACCAGGTCAGAGTGTATTATGATAAAACATAGTTTGATAGCTATCATAGTTTAGTTTATCTATAATTACAATCATTAGTTATAATATCTAGGTTAACGTAATTTATTATAAAATTTGACTTGCGATACCCTTCACCTCATGATGTTTTGTTTTGTGTGAACGATAGTTAAGTATAAGTCATACCTAAAATGATGTTCACAGAAGAATAGTCTTTTTTGTATACAGTGTATTCGGGTATATTCTTGCCAGTTTTAAACAAGTATTTCTTATATTTAAATCAGTTGGCAATTGAATCCATAACTTTCCCCGCGTTCTTATTCTCGTATTTTTGCATGCAGGCACAACACAACAATGATTTAGATGATAACTCATTTTTAAACTTTAAAAAGTATCTATTACTATGCAAAATCGGCAAAATTCGAAGACAGTGACGTCACCAGTTGACCAGCATGGCGGCTAGCGTTTTCACGCGAAAATTTGAAACGATAGATTTAAAATAAATTTTATGGCATTATTTGGTTTTAAAAAATTTATATAAAAATTATAGTGGTTCATTATCACTCTAGGATTCATTTAAATCACTTTTTGTAAATGGGTGTAATACCCTATTAATGGTCTATTCAGACGTTGGCGGCATCGGACATCTGTGTGTCTACCACTGTGTTACAGCGTATATGAACAGAAAGGTTACAAAATGAAGGTGTGAAAGAAGAGTGTAAATATAAGTGGTTTGAATGATTTGTGTATGAATGAGTTAGACTTGGAGAATGTGTGACATAATGTTAAGAAAGGTTTGGTGGATGCAGCTATCGAAGTGTATGGTGGTAGTAAGAGAACGAAAGAAAGAAAAAATAATACGTAATGGTGGGATAATGAGGTACGTATGGAAGTTGAAGCAAAGAAGAGAGCATGGCTAGATTTGCTAGCAACTACGGCTGGTAATTCTGGCGGTTGAAAGAAGAAAGGTAGTCTTTAGACCTTAAAATAAGAGAGTAAAAGAAGTAGCTGAAAGTAAAAAGCAAAAAAGAACGGATAAGAATTATGGAAGAATATCGGATAACTTCCAAGCAAATATTAAAATGTTCTTGAAACTCGTAAGAACTGCCAGGGGACATTCAAAACGGCCTAGATTGAATGCTATACGAGACTAGAATGGCTGTATTCTGAATGATGAAGTTTTGAGTCTAAAGAAATTGAAGGAATATTTTAAAAGCCTATTTATGAGTGAGGAGACGCGTGAACTAAATAAAATAGAAATTCCGAAATAAAAGGAAAGAGATAGGGAGATAAATATAGATGAAATAATGAAAGCAATGAAAAGCATAGGTAAGGCAGCCGGATATTATAGAGTATCACTCGAAATGCTAAGGGCTGGAGAGGACGTGGTGGCAGGCCTGCTGTACCCCTTGTTTAATTTATGTTGGGAACTGAAGCGGGTACCGAGAGACTGGTGCAAAGCCGTGATAGTCCCAATATATAAGGGAAAGGGGTCGCAGCAGGACTGTAAAAACTACCGTGGTATCAGCCTTCTTAGCGTTGTGGGAAAACTGTATGCTAAGATAGGTATTAATTGTAAGAGTTATGAAAGAAACTGATGGAAAAATTTGGGATGTGCAAGCGGGACTTTCAAATGGAATGGGGTGTACAGAAGTCTTTTCCATGCTATTTTAATATAAAAATATACTACCAAACAGGCTAAATTAAATAACTTTTGAATTCTAGTTCTAGAAACTTGTCCTTTTAAAGAGATGAGTTTGATGTTGGTTGCAGGCAAGACGTTGCTGGCGCAGACAATCGCGCAGTGCCTGGACGTGCCGTTCGCGATCTGCGACTGCACCACGCTGACGCAGGCCGGCTATGTGGGCGAGGACATCGAGAGCGTCATTGCCAAGCTGCTGCAGGACGCAAACTTCAAGTGAGCACCGAAACTTGGCTCGTGGCTGCCTATCCGCCATTCGATTACTATCGTGAACCACTCCTAGCACAAGCATTTTAAGCTTACCAGGAATGGTTAAAGGGATCAATCAATCAATCAATTATTTATTTGCGAATTCAAGTATTAAGAAAGGTGTTTACTAAGGGAATATTGGTAAAGTAGTATGTATTAGCATTGCTAATATTTTTTTAACAAAGAAACACCATCGATTGTGCCACTAGGCCTCGGCTGGGACCTCTGTTATTCAGTACATTCGATTATGTCATTAAGGTGGTAAGATTGTTATACGAAATTACTAATTTCATTAGTTACAGCCCATTAAGTCCTAAACATAGCCCCCCCCCCCAATAGATTGAATCAAAGGAAGGATTTTGCCATGGGTCGGCTACTGCAATTTTGTATTATTTTTAGTTGTTATTAGGAAGATGCTGTTGCCCATCTCTTATTTTAGTTTCCATCTGTCACCTCTTATGACCCTCACGAGATGATACGAGGTAGTGAATTCTTTTACACTACCGTTTCTTAGAAATAAATATAATTTATACTTAGGATTGTTGTCACTTGGTGAAACTCCAGCTTCATTCTTGTGATTTGCATAAACACTACACACTGTGAAACTACTACAAGTGTTTATACAAATTACAAAAATTATAAATAAATTCTGGACAGGAAACTACACTAATGATTTATTCACCATTAATCATCTAGACTTTTCTACCTACGGGTATGTCTGTGTAGGCCTCACCACCTTATTTCTGCATCCAAATAGAAGTTGAATTGCAGTTCGGTAAACTGCTATTTTGCATCTGTAGTCTTCCTTGTAAGAAGTTGACTGTAACATGTAAGTGTCCATGTTAAGTGTACATTATACGTGGTAGAGCCATGCTGCAGTTATTATATAGTAGTATAGTTGTAGCACGAATGTGTCGGCTCGACCGGGGAAGGACCACGCTCTCAAATAATACCAGCGTTAAATAGTAGCTTAGTGCTGCTGTGTTTCGTATGGTAAGTGTAGAGAATCGGAGACCCTTTTTACTGGAAAAGAGGCATTCCATCTTAGTCCTCACGGGTGACAACGTACCTGCATTTTGATTTGTAATCTAGGATAGATGTAAATGTCTATGTGCCGCAGCAACCACTTACCATCAGGTGGACTGTGTGCTCGTTTTTTACCCTATTCTATTTATTAAAAAAAATAAAAACATAAGTTGCAATAGCCACTTAGCACCAAGTAATGTGAGTTCGTTTGTCACTGCGGTTTTATAAAAATATATATTTGCGTCTTGCGGTATCAAACCAAATATATAATTAAAGATTTAGCCCATAAACACTCAGCCACTGGCTAGTGTTTAGTTACTAATAGCCACTGCACTAACGGATCTTCGTGTATGCAATGACTCACAAAGTTATTGCTTTCCAATTTCTCAGTGTGGAGCGAGCACAGACTGGTATCGTGTTCCTGGATGAGGTGGACAAAATCGGCGCAGTTCCAGGCATTCATCAGTTGAGAGACGTCGGAGGTAAGTTTAAAAAAAATGGAAATGATAAACGGACTTACTTACTTAGTCTTACGGACTTAGTCCTCTTATGGTAAGTTCATTGACACCTGCAAGTTCACGATACCGAAGAAATGTATTCTCTGAATGTTCTGCGTTACTAGGCCTTCTTCTTGGCCACAGATTACCCCCTAATAGATACCGCATCGTTGAATATTTGTTCCGTTTCGATTTCACCAAGTTTAGTGGCATGCAAGGGTTGCGGGGGACATGTCAAATGCGCTTTGATTGGATATTGCAAGCTTAGACTACACCGAATCATAGTGATGGGACAGGGTTGGGACGTTGATCGATAAATTTAGAATTTATTGATTATTGATAAATAAATAAATGGCCAATTTCTATTTGAAATTTATTAAAATTTATTGAACTCAATTTTTTCTAAAATCCGAAAAAACCGGATTTGAGTCTTAAAAACCGGTTTTATAAAACTGGAAAATCCGGATTTTTCAATTATTTTCGAATTTCGAAGAATCCGGATTGCAATCACTACTCAGGACCGTACTTTTTGAAATTACTTTGGAAAAGGGTCGGTCCACCACACCATCATTATAGGTGGTGTTGTGGACCGACGATGCAGGTGTTCTGTAGTACAGATAACGTGTATGCGTTTGATTGTTTATCGAGGATTAATTGTGTAAATGGGACACAGTATTCAGTTAACCTCAGGTAGGCTTTGTGCTCGTCTGTCACTCCCAACGTCTATAAGACAAAGCCCCAATACAACAGGAAAGGCCTACGCCCAGCGGTAGGTTTTTAGGAATGATGAAGTAGAAGAAAATAAGGCGAGTAAGACAATGTAATTGTTGATCTTAGGCGAAGGCGTGCAGCAGGGCATGCTGAAGATGTTGGAGGGTGCGTTGGTGTCTGTGCCGGAGCGCAATTCGCGTAAGCTGCGCGGCGATGCCGTGCAAGTGGATACCACCAACATACTGTTCGTGGCTAGTGGCGCGTACAACGGACTCGACAGGTACCGTGTCCGTGTTCGCGTCCTGCACACTTCGCACGTCGCACACTGTACGCTCAGCACATCTCGTACACTGCACTCTTCACTTGTCGCACACTACACACTTCGCACACTACACAATTCGCACACAACATACTTCGCACACTACACACTTCGCATACTACACACTTCGCATACTACACACTTCGCATACTACACACTTCGCATATGTCGCACCTTACGTATTTTTGACTGGCAGGCTGGTGCAGAGGCGAAGCAACGAGAAGTACCTGGGATTCGGCGCGTGGGATCGCACTGGAGGCAGGCGAGCCGCACTGGCCGCCGCAGCCGCGGACGCGTCGCCGCTGCAGCCCGCCGCCGACGAGTGCGACGAGCGCGACGCCTGGCTGCGCAAGGTGCAGGCGCGCGACCTCATCGACTTCGGCATGATACCGGTACGTGTCGTACGTGCTGCAGCCCGCCGCCGACGAGTGCGACGGCCTGGCTGCGCAAGGTGCAGGCGCGCGACCTCATCGACTTCGGCATGATACCGGTACGTGTCGTACGTGCTGCAGCCCGCCGCCGACGAGTGCGACGAGAGAGCCTGGCTGCGCAAGGTGCAGGCGCGCGACCTCATCGACTTCGGCATGATACCGGTACGTGTCGTACGTGCTGCAGCCCGCCGCCGACGAGTGCGACGAGCACGACGCTTGGCTGCGCAAGGTGCAGGCGCGCGACCTCATCGACTTCGGCATGATACCGGTACGTGTCGTACGTGCTGCAGCCCGCCGCCGACGAGTGCGACGAGCACGACGCCTGGCTGCGCAAGGTGCAGGCGCGCGACCTCATCGACTTCGGCATGATACCGGTACGTGTCGTACGTGCTGCAGCCCGCCGCCGACGAGTGCGACGAGCGCGACGCCTGGCTGCGCAAGGTGCAGGCGCGCGACCTCATCGACTTCGGCATGATACCGGTACGTGTCGTACGTGCTGCAGCCCGCCGCCGACGAGTGCGACGAGCGCGACGCCTGGCTGCGCAAGGTGCAGGCGCGCGACCTCATCGACTTCGGCATGATACCGGTACGTGTCGTACGTGCTGCAGCCCGCCGCCGACGAGTGCGACGAGCGCGACGCCTGGCTGCGCAAGGTGCAGGCGCGCGACCTCATCGACTTCGGCACGATACCGGTACGTGTCGTACGTGCTGCAGCCCGCCGCCGACGAGTGCGACGAGCGCGACGCCTGGCTGCGCAAGGTGCAGGCGCGCGACCTCATCGACTTCGGCACGATACCGGTACGTGTCGTACGTGCTGCAGCCCGCCGCCGACGAGAGCGACGTAAGATTTTGCCGTTAGAACTTAATAAAGAGGCCGCCATTTTCAAAACTTTTGTATCTGCACCGTTTATTTTTAAAATATGTATAATATATGTATCTGGGAGTACATGTGGTCTATGAACATGAATTCGTCATCAAATCTGAAGAAAAATACCGCCATTTAGAAAACTTTTGTTTCTACATCGTAATTTTAACCTTAATATTTGGGCGTCAAAGAGGTCTGAATATAAAAAATAGGTTATAAAAATGTATATAAGTGGCCGCCATTTTGAATTTTCTTGTGTTTGCACTGGTATCTTTAAATATCAATAGTTGGCAGTCCAAGTGATCTATGAATTGAATGATCGTTAAATTTCATCATGAAAACTTGTATTTGTGTATACTTTTGTTTTTAAATAGATTCCTTTAAAAATCAATTGATGGGCGTCCAAGAGAACACAATTCCTTTAAAAATCAACACTTGGGAGTCCCAAGTGGTCTTTGAATACCAAATTTGGATTTTGAATATGTTACCCAAGTTACAAGTGTTTTATGAAAAGTATGTTCTGCTTGCAATTATCGACTCGAGATAAGCTTCGTCAATACCGTTGCGGCAAATATTTTTATAATAAAAAATATGGTAATTGACTGTAAATAGTAGATATAATCGATTATTAACCAACGTCGGTTAACATCCGATTACTGCGTAACAATTAAAATATTTATGTGTACTTATTTCAACACAGGTTAATAAATAATGACAAATAAATCAAAGTAGATTATAAAAAATAATTAGATAACATAAAAATAACACACCAAAAATATTCCACTCACTGAACTCCACCCTAAGAAAACTTGTACTATGGAAGATCAAGATAGTTTAGTCGTTATGCTCACAGTGTCATAGTGCTCATAGTGCGAGCGAGTGGATAGATGTGAAATAAAGTATCGCTGGCGAAGTTCGCCGCTTGCTATATATGACTCGTTGTGAAAACTGAAAAGATGACTGCAATTTCGATAAAATTTGATGCTGCCTCAATTCTTTCCGAAAATCAATATCTTTCAGCCCAAATGATAAATCGCTGACTATGATATAAAATCTATTGCACTGCTTTGCTCTGGCCTGAGGTGTACAGAGAACCAATATAATTATAGGATGTGAGGCATTCCATCTTTGTCCTCAGAGGTGACAAAAGAACTGAAGCTTTCTTTGTTAAAACTTGGCTGTTGATGTAGTATAAGGCTTGCAGCGCTTTTCATACGTGGTTGAGACATGCTGCAGTTATATTAGTAGTATAGTTGTAGCACGAATGGGTTGGCTCGACCACGGAAGGACCACGCTCTCACAGAATAGCAGCGTAAAATTGCTGCTGTGTTTCGTATGGTGAGTGTCGAGAACCGGAGACCGTTTTTACTGGAAACGAGGCATTCCATCTTAGTCCTCACGGGTGACAACTTATCTGCATTTTGATTCGTCATCGAGGACAGATGTAGATGTCTATGGGCCACAGCATTCACTTACCATGAGGTGGACTATTTGCTCGTTTGTCACCCTATCCTATAAAACAATAATTCACTAACAGACTAAACCTGTCGCCGCCAAACTGATTGCAGTTTGGCGAGAGAATAGTAAAAATAATGTATTCTATGAATAAATAAATTTAAAAAAATCACATCAATTTTATAATATATTGATTGATCTAAGAATGCTTGAATTTTTTTCTGTGAGCTTATAAAGGACTTCGATAGTTATAGAATAATTATTAGTTAGTTATTTTTACTGTTTTACATACGAACATTTATATTTTGACATTCGTAAACGATTGAGTGACATTGTTTTTAGTATATTTAATCTTTTGACATTTATTATTAATTGGACATTTTTATATTTTATTAATAAGTTAAATTCATCAATAATTAGAAAATAAAATTATTGTTATATCTATTTAGTCAAATTTGCACGCCTCGATAAGGCAGGAATGTATAGGAACTTTTATGTTTTAATAATATTCTTGTAATATCTACCTACATTCTATGCAAATAAATAATTATGAATTATGAATTGAAACAATAATCATAAAAAAAATTATTTACATTCTTATTAAAAGTATATCCAATAGATTTCGCACTTTATTTGGCACAAATAAAATATGATCAAAAACTTTACTAAAAGCGATAAAGATTTTCCATGGTTTCCTTTTCTTACGAAAACCATTATATGAAAATTTTAATACAATTTCAAAGAAAGTATTCACATGTAACACATTTCTCATTTCAGGAGTTCGTCGGTAGATTTCCCGTTTTGGTGCCTTTCCACAGTCTAAACCAGGACCTACTTGTGCGGATACTGACGGAACCTAAAAACGCTATGGTGAGTGTACATATATATGTACAATATATCGCGGGGATCTTTAAAGGTATAATAAACCAACGTGACTCAGCGAGTACAAGAATGAACAGAACTGTATTTTCAAAAGACAAAAGTAAAGAATCACATAGACAACATTTGTTCACACTTTGGTACGAGATGTCGCTAGTAGTAGGTACATAATCTATATTTTGCTATTTATAATAAAAGGTTTATATGGTGAAGGTCACAACCAATATTGGTTTTGTTGTGTAAGGATTAGCTAATCGTATACAACTAGGATGTTTTCTATTAATATTATTATTTAAATTTAATATTGCAATTAGCGATTTCATTGGTATCGGCTGGTTTCAAACCCGAGTTGCACTCTAAATGCTCGCGTACAGTAAACGCGAGTATTTAGAGCGAGCCCAAACCATCTGAGCTACCACGGCTCTAATGAACCTTAAGTTCATGTAATAAGATTTATTTTCGTATGACACGTTTTTTGAATCCGGTTTGAAGTACTCAGTCCATAGACGCTTTCCAAAAATAACCCGTGCGAAGCCGGGGTGGATCGCTAGTAGATATTATATTAAAAAGAAATCGGTCCAGAAAAAGACTATTTCAATATGGCGGTTATTTTTTGAAAATATTACGACAATTTCTTTTTTATGGTAACAAAACAAAGAACATTACTTCCAAATAGGTACACTTTTAAAAAAGTAATTAACGAACTGATTAATAAAAAGTATATCATTTTCAACGATTTTTTTAAACCGATTTTAAAAACATTTTATCAGCGGCTTTCCGGAAATCGGAATTTAGATAAGTTTAACTTTACCTACATAGGTTGTGTAGTGGCGGTGTAAGAATATCCACTACCCCATATCTTCCCGTAGGCGTTGTAAGAGGCGACAGAGAGAAACTGAAGCAAGAGGTGCACAGCAGTATCTTTCTGATATCAGCAAAGTAACAATAAAAAACTGCTGTTTGCTAAACGTGGCAAATATGGCAATGTACCCATTACGAGAGTTATAAATAGACTGCCCTCAGTCCCCGGTGGCCGCTCCATTTCTGGCTACGGTGGCAACCATGGTATGGGGGTGCTAACAATCTCAGGTGGTGGCAACCATGGTATAGGGGTGCTAACAACCTCAGGTTCGGTTGCCACTTAGGCCCGCCCGCCACATACATACGAATTTCACTTTCAGGATTCTGTTTCGGGATTCCGAACGCAGCTAGTCCATATAAAATTAAAATCAATGACCCACCTACGGTAGTTTTTCGTACGGACTTTTGCGGGAAAAACGAGATTCCGTATGCGTTTGGCTGTGACCCGTTCGTTCCGTTTCGGAATTCCGTATGTATTATGTGAGCGGGCCTTAAAACGACTCGACCTAGTAACCTATCTCGTACGCACCGTGAGAAGTGACGAAAAGATCCTGCAAGCTAGAACAAAACTAACTTTTCTTATAAGTTGCGCTGGCATATTATAGGATTATCTGAGGTACGAAGAGAGGGGCAGGGGACGGTAATCCTCAAATCAGACAAATCAGACAAAACGTTTTATCACCGGGAGGGTGACCATCTGTTCTAAGGAGGTGTAAATTTATCGTCCACGAGTCTCGCTAACAAACGTTGTGAAGATATTCGCTAAAAGCCATGCAGATTTATGCACCAGGTTGGTGCATAAACCATCCAAAATCCTGATGAGGAAGTGGAGGAAATGTATGAGGACATCTCTATAGCCATGCATTCCTCCAAAACACTATACAGTGTTAATGCGGGACTTCAACGCAAAACTAGGCACAAGAGAGAAGGGTGAGCTGCTATTAGGGAAATTCGGGATAGGGCAACGGAACCCAAAGGAATCGGCAGTTGGCCAACTTCATGGAGAAAGAGGGACTCTTTATGATTAATTCTATCTCCCGGAAGCGGCGTATAAACTCAGAAATGAGGATATCCGCAGTCGAACCAGAGTAACCGATCTAGCCCAACGGATTAGTAAGCTGAAGTGGCAATGGGCAGGCCATATAGCTCGAGGAACCGATAACCGATGGGGAAAAAAAGTTCTCGAGTGGCAGCTTCGTACCGGTAAGCGTAGTGTAGGGCGACCCGCCGCTAGATGCAGGGACGACATGGTAAGACATGCAGGAAGTCGAAGGATACTGGTGGCTCAGGAACGTCCTTTGTGGCATTACTTGGGGAGGCCTTTGTTCAGCAATGGACTTGTGAAAGGCTGTAACGATGACAATGATGATGTAAATTTGTATTTGTATTAAATTGTATAATTTGTAACGTATTGAAATTAAATACTCTTTCAACGCTACAACAACTTTGTTACTATTGCCGAGACTCCTCACTGCAGTGAAAATATCTTTAACCGTCGGAACCTTTGATCAGTCTTGTGAGGCTGCTTCACTGGCAGTGAGAGAATACTATCACCTAACCCTGACGTCCTGTCTCTGTCCGTCTGCTACCGTAGGTCTCATGTTGCAGTCATCCCGCACTCATTTAATTTATTTATATATATTTATATGGTAGGGCTAGGTATAAGGAACTGTGATATAATAATAATAAATAATAAGGATCTGTAGGGTCTAATACTCCTGCCATATTCATGTGTAGCCTGGTAGTTGAGCCATTGAAGGGAAATTGGATCAATATTTAAATAAATTGTTACCTGACTGTATATTTTGGTCCTTCGAGCTGGATTTGTATTTCTTGTATTTTTGATTCACGTGCACTCAACGATCACAATTTGCAGTAGACGGACGAGCGAACAATCATTTTTTTCCACGAATATTTGCTTGCAAGTAAGACGGTATTTTTTTTCTAAATGCCCACAGACTGCCTGGATAGGCAGGACATGATATGATCTTAGCCTTAAACTTATATACTAGATTCATAAATGTGAAGTATTTAAATAGCATATCGGTGTGGTGGTGCAGGTGGCGCAGTACAAGCTGCTGTTCGCGATGGACAAGTGCGAGCTGTCGTTCAGCGAGGACGCGCTGCGCGCCGTCGCCGCGCTCGCCATGGAGCGCAAGACCGGCGCGCGCGGCCTGCGCGCCATCATGGTAACTTACATTCATCCATTGCTTCACTCATTCATTGTAATATATATATTTTTATATATATATATATATATATATATATATATATATATATATATATATATATATATAATATATATATAATAACGTGTCTAAATGTTTTCGTTCTGTTGTAGGAGAATCTGCTACTAGAAGTGATGTTCGAGATCCCCGGGTCGGACATCGTGTCGGTGCACATCCACGAGGGCTGCGTGCGGCGCAGCGAGCCGCCGCGTCTTACGCGCCGCGCGCCGCCCGCGGAGATGCACCGCTGGCCCTCCGTGCGCCTGCACAACTGTACGTAGCCAACTGTACCGTGCGACTGTAGTGACGCACAGTTGCACCGATGCACCTACTAAACTGCCGATTAAATTAACAAAATTGACACTTTAATTACAGAACACTAATTACAACTTAAAACTACACTAATAATAAAACAATTGTACTACTGATTACTTTAGTTCGCAGTTGTATAGCTTCAAAGCACCCGGGTCAGTATTGATTTGGCGATACAGCCAATTCAATACTGACCCGGGGCGCGGTCTATACCGGCCTTATATAGGGCCTCTTCTTCTGAAACATCTAGAATGTTCGAGTACATACCGGTTCCGACTGACTAGGTGTAGAAAGTTCTAGCATGAAAATATCTAGAAGGATCTTGACTCACCTAGTTCTGCCACTCGATACTAGAGAGCGCTAGTGGTAACTAATGTCGCCATGTGCCAAGACCACGTCAGTGGTGTATATAAGTCAGCGCGTTAGTCAGCCCAGTATGATGCCTTTTTTAATACAACATTTTTATTAAGCAGTCTGTCTGTCGTTCCGGGTGGAATGTTGCAATTCTCTGAAAAGCGTGGTATATGAAATTCTTTTAGTACAGAATTTTAAAAAATCATTAGTTTTACAAATGTATTGAAAGGTAATTCTACTTGTGAATAGTATATTTCATTACGAGTGCGGAAAGCCTGTCATTACAAAGAGTTCCGATAAATGTCTATCCGAGCCGAGGCGCAGCCGAAGGTGAGGGTTGACAGTCGGAACAAGTTGCAATGACGGTTCCGCACGTGTACTGAACAACTATTTTTAATACAGTTGCGAAAAAATGAAGCAATATAATAAAATAATAAAAACACAATAACGCAAAATAATAAACATAATCACTTATATCCACGTTGTTCGTTATTTTCAGCATACTTTTTATCATCGAAAACCTCGACCATAACGTAGGTTTTAATTTTGCTGAGAGTTCGGAGAAATATGCCAACATAACATTTTCTGAAAAACTTTTTGCTTTTTTCTCTTCTCTCCAAGCAATAAATTCGTCGTATGTAGATATGTAGCGACTTTTTGACTTTTCCGGTAAAATGTTCTCCGAAGCATTTTGTGCAATTATACTGAGTTCCGGTGGTGTTAATTCAAATAAAATATCGTCGAAATTACTCATTTTGTGCAACAAACTCATTTTGTGTAGTGGCGGTTAAGAATATCCACTACCCCATATCTTCTCGTGGGTGTCGTAAAAGGCGACAGAGGGAGACAGGCAGGAGATGGGCAGCAGCATCTTCCTGGTAACACAAACTGTACGACAAAAAAAACTGCGGTTGCCAACCCGCTCGTCAAGCGTGGCAACTATGGCATTATACCCCCCCATGAACAATTACACAAATAGACGGCCCCCAGTCGCTATTCCTGGCTACGGTGGCGACCATGGTAACGGCGGGGCAGGGGGTGCTAAGAATCTCCGGTGGAGGTTCGGTTGCCACCTACGACGACTCGACCTGGCAACATTTAACGCACGCACCCTGAGGACTGACGAGAAGATCCTGGAGCTGGAAGAAGAGATAGACAAGTTGCGCTGGAATATTATAGGATTATCCGAGGTCCGAAGAGAGGGGGAGGACACGGTGATTATCGAATCCGGCAACTTGTTCTATCACCGGGAGGGCGACGATCTGTCCCAAGGAGGTGTCGGATTTATCGTCCAAAGTCTCTCGTCAACAACGTTGTAAAGATTGGGAGTGTGTCGACGAGGGTCGCGTACCTCATACTCAGAATCACCAACGGTATTCGCTGAAGGTCATACAGGTGGAGGAGGAGGTGGAGGAAGTGTATGAGGATATTTCCAAAGCTATGCATTCCTCCAAAACCCACTACACGGTGTTGATGTATGGCACAGAGAAAATGTGAGCTGAAGTTAGGGAAATTTGGAGTAGGGCAACGGAACCGAAGGGGACTTTATGGAGAAAGAGGGACTCTTTATGATGAACTCTTTCTTCCAGAATTCCAGAATTTCTTAATTCCAGATTGACTTCATTATGATAACCAGACGCCAACTGTTCAGTGATGTCTCAGTGATCGCAAGGGTGAAAACTGGCAGCGATCACCGAATGGTTAGAGGCACACTGAACCTAAACGTTAAGTTGGAGAGGTCTCGTCTAATGAAGTCAACGCACCGTCCTCCCCCTCGTGCTCTAATCCAGAATCCCGAAACTTTTCAGCTCGAGTTACGTAACCGCTTTCAGTGCCTAGAAGATTGCAATGCAGTGGACGATATGAACAAGCTCGTGGAAACTGTCCATGCGGTCGGAGCTAAGTTCTGTAAGACTCGCCGCAGAAGAACACAAAAACTCTCCGATCACACTCTAATAAATAATTAATCTCATGGCTGTTAGACGGGAGATGAGGCTGCAATCGTCAACAGATTTGACAGCATACAGGCAACTGAACAGACAGATCTCCAAATGCATGTGGCGAGACTTACGCAACTTTAATACTGCTCGTATTAAAGAAGCGATCGAGCGGAACCAGGGCTCCAAAGTCCTTGCCAGAGATCTGTCTGCCGGTAAGAGCCAACTGTCAAAGCTGAAGACTGAGTGTGGCAGCATCGTTTCCGGGACACCTGAGATTTTGAGTGAGATTGAGAGGTTCTATGGGCAGCTGTACACATCATCGTTGGAGCCACACGCCAGTGAGAGTAACGATCCAAGAGCAAGTCTTATCCGACACTATTCCTATGATATCCCGGACGTCAGTCTAAGCGAGATTAGAATGGCTCTCCAGCATCCTAAAAACGGCAGGGCCCCAGGAGAGGATGGAATTACAGCGGAGCTTCTGAAAGCGGGTGAAACACCGGTACTTGAAGTCCTTCGGAAGTTCTTCAATTCCGTCCTCCATGGTGGCACTACTCCAGAGGCGTGGAGCAGAAGTGCGTTGGTCTTGTTAAGAAAGGCGACAACGCTCTCTTGAAGAACTACAGACCGATTTCCCTTCTGAGCCGCGTCTACGTGCTGTTTTCGAGAGTCATTACGAATCGTCTCGCACGCAGACTCGACGACTTCCAGCCTCCCGAACAAGCCGGTTTCCGAAAAGGCTTCAGTACCATAGACCACATACACACCTCGCGGCAGATTGTACAGAAGACCGAAGAGTACAATCTGCCACTTTGCCTGGCGTATGTGGACTATGAGAAAGCCTTTGATTCTGTCGAAATTTGGGCGGTGCTACAGTTCCTTCAGCGGTGCCAAGTTGACTGTCGGTATATCGAAGTGCTGAAGTGTTTGTACAGTAGGGCTACGATGGCTATCCGAGTACAGAACCAGAGCTCGAAACCTATCCAGCTGCAGAGAGGTGTAAGACAGGGTGACGTTATATCCCCGAACCTCTTCACCGCTGCATTGGAAGACGTTTTCAAGATACTGGACTGGAAAGGATACGGTATTAACATCAATGGCGAGTACATCACTCACCTTCGATTTGCCGACGATATAGTCCTTATGGCAGAATCGCTGGAGGACTTAAGCACTATGCTCAATGACCTCAATAGTGCCTCCCAACGGATAGGTCTTAAGTTGAACATGGACAAAACGGTAGTTGTTGGGAGCACTAAGCTCGAAGTTGTTGACAAGTACGTTTACCTGGGACAAATAGTCCGACTATGTAAGTCCAACTTCGACCGAGAGGTCAATCGACGGATTCAACTCGGCTGGGCAGCATTCGGGAAATTACGACATATCTTCTCGTCGGGTATACCTCAATCTCTTAAAAACTAGATTGTACAACCAGTGCGTGTTGCCAGTGATGACTTACGGATCTGAGACGTGGTCCTTCACTGCTGGCCGTATGAGGACGCTCAAGGTCGCTCAGCGAGCTATGGAGAGGGCTATGCTCGGAGTTTCTGTGCGTGATAGACTCAGAAATGAGGATGTCCGCAGTAAAACCAGAGTGACCGACATAGCCCAATGAATTAGTAAGCTAATCAATGGGCCGGAATATCGAATAACCGATAACCGATGGGGAGAAAGGTTCTCGAGTGGCAGCCTCGTACCGGTAGGCGTAGTGTAGGGCGACCCACCACTAGATGGAGTGACGACCTTAAGCTCACAAAACACTTTTTTCTCGCTTAAACCAACTTGTAAATTCCTTAGATCGCTACGAACTGTCAAAGTTGTTTAGCAAAGTGTAGTTTGCTAAACAAAAAAACCAGCACGGAGAAAGCGACAAACAATCTCTCCGCTCTGTCTCATTTCTACGCAAGACGCATGTATAAATCTATCTTTTTCGTGTGCGAATGCGAAAGATGGCGTCAATTTGTCTATAGGTTTCTCTGTCTACGATAAGCAGAGATTTTTTTTGTTTTCTTCACCCATTCTGGGTAGGCAAAGGGAACTATGCCCATACAGCCAAGTCTTCTGTAGATTTTTTTTATTGATATGAAATGAAACCTAACCTAACTTACTGAATCAAATCATTAAATCTGATATTAAAACAAATTAGCAGCTTCTTTTTAGAAATATTTGCATGAATCATAAAAACTTCCATGAATTTTTTTTTGTAAAAACTTCCTGTTTGGTTTTTTCTTTTTAATAGACATTATTTTGACAGTTGGGAAAGAGAACGTACGAGTTCGGAAAAGGTAAAGAAAAAGCTCGAGTATGTAATACCCCACATCCCGAACACTATACGTCCCTCCAATACGTCACTTTTTGAGCAACTGTATTAAAAATATCTTTGAAATATGTATTTATAGTAAAAATATATCTAAATTGGTTTTTACTTATTTAGTGCTTAAACCCGCTTCAGACCACAAGAACCATACATTTCCCGTGTTCAATTTCCACAACCCTCACTTCATGGCAACATGGCTTACTTAATTGTAGATTTTAGATTAGAAACTTTAATTTTAGATAGCATTCTCCATCGATTTCAATCAATATTGTTTCTTTTTACAGGAACTCAAAGCAAGTGAGCCCCAGCCATCTGTCACTGAGTAGTGCGCGCTGTAAGCGGATAGAAGTATGGTGGTTAT